TTCTGAAGAACATCCGAGACGAGCTAATGAGCAATGTCTTGCAGCGAGATTTCCCACCCTAAATGATAATAGCACATTAGTCGTACGATCAGTGTGACCTGAAGTGTTGCCGAAAGGGATCACATGTAAGAATGACCTTGTCCAGAACGAGTTCACTCTTTTTCAGTCCCAAAACGCCTCTCATATAATCAACGAGCTCTTCATTTGCTTCGCCTTCACGAGGAGGGGCAGCAATCGCTACACCTACTTCGTCATCACCAACATCTGAAAGAGAGCAATCTGATGAGTGGACAGTTTTACCCCAAAACAACGAAAAATCGAGAGAACAGAGGTTGAAACTTTGAAAATTGGCTAGAAGTAGTGTACATGTACCGCAAAGGTTCCTGTCGTAACTAGGCCACAGGACTGTGGAAAAATCTCATCAGACGGGAATGGGCGTATCTGACCTTGATAGAAACCTCTGAGTCGTGATAAAATTTTTCTGGTCATTGATCTCTCATACCACCCCCCCCCCCTCCTGCCGCCCAGCGTTTGCCGCCGCGCAGAACTACCATACAACTATCATTTTTGACAGTCGCAATTAGTAGTTGACTGTTGATGACAACCGCCAGTGCGGCTTTTTTTGTAGAAGACCGAAAAAACTTCTTAACAACTTTGGAAGGTAGGATAGTCGGGAATATTCAAGGAAGATGGCAGGTGGAATAATTTGGTACGGAAGGGGAGGGGGGGGGACCAATGGGGAAGTTTGGGGGAGAAGTCGTGCTGATACCGCCATTCCACATATTACCCTGGTTGTAGCCACCCTTTCAGTGCTTATTCGTGAAACCAGCCCTTCTTAGGAACCCGACGACTGAACTTCAGAGTAGTTATGCTCGAACTCAGCTCTTCTTAGAAAGAAGCCATCAGCCCTTCCCGTCCCTATGCTGTTTCGCCGCTTACAGAAATGTTAGCCTAATAGTGTAATAACAGGAATGAAGTTGTGCTACTGTCCAGGTAATCATTAAATATCGTTATCGTATTAGAAAAGCAAAAAGTGATCCATGTTCATGCAACCGAGTATAAATTGAACAACTTATTTGGCAAGCTGTGGGGTAACGCGTCTAGCTTATACCCAACTATGTCCTGTAAACTCTCAACTGCCAGAGTATGTGGCAGGACAATTACAATATGCCCTGTAACAACCGCCAGAGTATGCGGCAGGACAATTGCAATATGCCGCGGTTGTGAGCGTAGCGAGCGAGGTGGTGCTCTACGGACAAGTTTCGTGCCCGCGGTCCTGTTTCCGCTTGAATTCTTGTAAGATTTGCAGCCCCAATCGACAAAGTGATACAACCAGCATTTGCCGCATGATATGTCGCGCGCGATAACGCGGCAACTACGATTCTCTTGTCCTTCTTCCGGACTGCCCCACACTGAAGATCAGACTCGAATTTCGATCAAAATGTTCCTCACAGTCTCGCAGATAAATCCGTAAATGGGATGCTCTAAGTTGAAACCAATTGAAACGAACAGTACAGATTGAATGATTGAAAAACGGGTGAGATATAGCGTAACGGAAATTGAAGCCAAAGCCGACAGCAAGATAGAAGAAAGCGTTCCAGAAAGAAAGTAAAAAAAAACTCCAACGTGAATTCGAGAAAAATGGAGTGAGCCATTTAGGGAATTCGGAAAAAAATGTGATTAATGTTAATCGTTGAATTCATGTACAGTAGAACTCCTAACGTCTAATTTTCCTAGTCGCGAAGTATGATGAACTCGACTCAGTGGCTGGCGCTATTTTACTCGGTGGTCACCTAATTAAGAGGTGAATTTTCACCGAATCAGTTTCTATCCCATCATTTTTTTCAGAAACCATTAGATTTTTTCGAACTTAACCCTCTGGAATTACTTTTAGACTCGATTGTTGACCTCTCTTCACAAATAGCCTTCTCCCTGTGTTGTTTGTTCTTTTTGCTTATCCACTTCCCTCATCAGATCTCTCCGATCATCTAACCTTTACTATTTGTCTTTATGATCGTATCTGTGTGAGAGCCCCCTTAGAATTCACTCTAAAAATGAAACGAAAATAATAAGTGTTTTCAAGTTACAGCGTCTCCTTCAACGTCCGTATGCGTGGCGATCGCGACGTCGCGCGAACTTATCTACGAGCCTTTATGATAGATTCGGCTGAAAACTCTTCCCCAGGAGCGGTTTCATTCTCTGAGCACGAGAACCACATCTGCTTGTTAAGGATACCATCCGGCGCCGGCTCCAAAATACGTCAAGTCACCAAATCAGCTGAAAGCTTGTTCTTAGAGCTATCGGCAAGCAAGGAAGCCAAAGTTGAGGGGAACGAGATGCCGCGGCCTTTTCTGCCCGTCTGTGCCCCTCCTCCGAGATAGTGATCCTTTCGTCTATCAAGGCTGAACCTAAGCAAAAGGAGGGGGTCACAACTGCAGGCGACCAGAAAGGACGCGGCTTTGTCTCGCCGTGTGCCCCCAACTGTCCGAGCAAACCGCTTATCACGAAATCGGCTGGTGCCCATACAGCCTATGAACCACGACGGCTCATTGTATATTTGAATTCATGTTCCTATCCAATCTTGTAGATAGAAGAGTTTTGCGCCAGATCAACACGCTCAAAAACTGCGTTGTACCCAATTTGTGGTGTAGAACGCCCTGAACACAACTTTGTACGGCTATAATCTTCAGATCACTTTGGTCTTCCTTATCATATCTTATAGGTCATCGACGAGTGGTACATTTGTTAATTAAGGACCTGTGTTTTGAAGCAGATAGCGGCTTATCTCCAGCCAGTGGTTAAAGGAAATGACCCTTCAGTAAGAACGAGGGGCAACAAAACCGGCGACATCACAATGTTTTCGGAAAGTAATTTATTTGATTAAAGTGAAAAAGGCTTTCTCACCTGTGACGGCACTCATTTTTGCTCCGGGCTTTGCCAATATCCTCAGCAGAATGTTACCATTCTTGTCGACGGAAACCGCTCCGGTTTGCTTGCTCATCTAGAAGATTTCGGAATCACAAACATGCTTTCACTATCTATTACACTATCTTGATTGCTCATATCTTGATTGATAGATTGTAAGGGATTCTGATGCTAATACATTTTGGAGGGGG